GCAATAATGTCACAAGGATTCAGGAGGTTGCTGGAAGTGAAAGAGAATGAAAAGACTTTAAACCAGAAACCCAATCCTAAACAGAAAAACAGGTGAACCTATCTACTCCTTTTGAGGAAAACATAAATAATAAATAAGATTTCAGAGTTTAGACATTAGAAGTATAAAGTTGAAGTAGTAGACTTTAGAAGAAAACTTGTATATTAACTAAAATTCATTGTTATTATTGTAACTTTATTCTACTAATATTTTGTAATTTTTATTTTGTATCTACATATTTCTTACTAAAAATGTCCTTCAGTCAGTTTTGAAAAAATTTTCCTTTCCTCACAAAAGTAAAGTAAAGGAAAAGTATTTAGCAGAGGGAAATTTTAAATTTATTTTATCAAAGTTCACAGAATACTAAAAAATTATCTTTCTAGTGATCAAAATGAATTATATATTATTTTGTACTCAGTGAAACACAAACAGAAACTGAATACAAAACGTTGAAAATAATAATTACAACGAAAATTAAAACAATATTAATTTTTTTTATATCAATATTATTGTCTATTTTTGTGAAAAACATTTTTTCTATTAATAAGTGTGAAATTTGAATATGAAAAACATTTTGATTAGTCATTGTGGAAAATCTAAAGTAATCGTAAAATGTTTAAATTTCTATACCTTCAGGCAATTTATTTTGTAATAAATTTTTACTTTTTTTAAACTAACGCGTGAAATTTAGCGGGAGGTAACTCTTCAAAATAAGACATTCAATTATGTCCCTTCAATTTCACCCTCTACTTTATTTACAATGAATATTCTTTATATGACCATTTCTTTCTATGAGACGCTTTATTTTTTCCCCTCAAAAACGCTCTTCTAGAAATTACCCTTTTATCGCAATGGTTGAGTTATTTGTACTACACTCTTGATTTATATACTAGACCTCTGATAACTTCAGAATTAGATATAATTTTTAAATGGATGTTTAAAAAAAAACATTATTTTTCAATTTTCATTTAATCGTTATTTTTAGTAGGTACACGTATTTGAGTTGAGGAGCGTGGAACCACCTTCTTTTTTATTTTTTTAAACAGAGAAATTAATGTAAACCTGCCAAGATTGAGAAGTCCTACTAAAGAAAAATTGTGCCTCCCAAAAGTAATCAGACATGTAAGAATTTTCCATCAGAGAAACTGTTTCTTTCCTTTTCATGTTGGTTTCCCATGGTCTAAAAATTTTATTCCTCCTTCTGTCCTTGAACCAGCAGAGGAACAGGTCTTTTCGACCTTGACCTCTCATTCATACTCCTCACACACTGTTAACACGTCAGAGGGACTAGCAAATCCCTTTTTAGTTAGGCTATATTACAAACCTAGGTGTAATATACATCTAGTCATTTTTTAGACCATAGTTATCTTTAGCTAACCTTGTAGTATTTTTTTATAGAGACTTTTCGGTTAATTAAAATGTTCTCTTTGGTCCCCCCTTACACAAGACAGTGATTTCTCCCAATGGGATCTCATTTGGGCGCAAATCTAACAGGCTGTGATTAACCACGCTCCATTTCTTTTTGTCTGCCAACTTGACGATAGTTGGGAACTTTCTTTCTCTCTCTTCCTTCCCAAACGTCAAGTTGGCATCCAGGCAATGACAAACAACGTTGGCAAATAACGAACTGCTGCAACAAGTTGGCATTTTCAATGACAAACAGCTTGGCAAAGCAAATTGTTGGCATATTGGCAACGACTCAGATTCAGAACCAACAAAGATCATCTCAACCAACATCAAAACCAAATCATCCTTTAAACAACCCACATCAGCTTCAACCCCCCAACAAAAACCTCGAACCAAATGCCTGCACTAAAACTTCTGCAGCATTCCAACCTGATTAGTTTCATCCTGCATCAAAGCTTCCAGCACCTCCACCAATTCCGACCATCTTCATTTCCTTTTGAATAAACCTCTATATATCATATATATCCTCGTTCTGTCGTCCATATTGTTTCACGGTCAGATTTAACGTCTTCAAAAAAAGTTAGCGGGCCTCTTGTGATTCGTTCACCCCTTTCCGTGATAAATAACCACTGGACCGCCATTTTTTAGTTTGCAAAGAAAGAGAAATCAGCAAGGTGTGTTTGGGAAAAGGCCAGACTGGGATCTCTAGCCATATTAACAACCAATTTATGAGAAGGACAGATCTGAATGCCAAATCATATGCAAACCTGGTGAGTCACATACTATACAACCATAGTAAAGATTAAGGAATTCATAATTAAATGCAAGGTGGCCCCTATGATCCCAACTGTGGTCAAGAATATGGCAGATAAAAATAACCATTTTTTAAGAGGTGCATAGCATGCTGTAGTTACAACACCTTGTTTTGGACATGTGATATCTTTTCCCTTAATGAACTTTTTCACATGCACACACACATGCGTATATCACACACACAATTCATAAGTCCTAAATTTTAATGTCTTCTTTCTTTTACTAGTGTATTTTCTATCTTTTGTTACTCAGTAATATTATATTGTCTTGTTGAAATTTATTCCATTGTCTTACACTCTTCTAGCAATGATGTCCTGCCATTTACATGTGTAAATTTTGTAGCCAGTTTTTAGTCTAACTAGGAGCATTGATTGATTTTCTACGGTTTATCAACTTTTTTTTTTTAGATTGTAAGAAATTGTTTCTCTGATAATAATGTTTTAGTGATTCGTCTTACTAATTAATCCATAGCTGGAGAGAGGAGAGGTAGATTCATACCTTTTGCAAGGGTATTTGCATGTAAGAATATAACAAACCCACTAGAATTGGAACTTATCCTGATTAACAATTCCAAGCCATTATCCATTATACCACCCACACATTCAAGCTTACAGCACCTGGTATTCCCAAGTGGTCATCCATCTAGATACTGTCTTTGTTTTGTTTTGTTTTTGTTTTTCAATGTTTTTATCAACCTCAATGGGTTATTTAATTCTGACAAGATTTTTATTGCTGGTAATATTATTTTTTTCCAAAAAATGTTTTGGTAATAATTTTTTCTTCAAAAATTTTGCTTCCAAAAATTTTTTTTTAAAAATGTATTTTTTGGTAATATTTTTTTCTTCCAAAATGTATTGCTGGTAATATTTTTTTTACAAAAATGTATTGATGGTATTAAAATCTATTTTTACACTTTCATAGTGTTTTGACCCCAGTTTGGGGGTTAATTATTTGCTCGTAGCTGGGACCCTAACAGGTGCTACCACTCAAGGTCAGGATGAACCTGGGAATACCAGAAATTAAGAAGTGGTTCCACGCTCCTCAAAACCTCCTAAACAGAGGACTTGCTGTTGGATATAGTTTATAGTCTTACCCAAGATGCTACATTTTTTCTTACCCCTTTGCAGAAGTGCATTTGGTGTATTCTGAAGCCCCAGCCAACAGGGCTATCTAGGTACTGATGAGGCTCAATGTTGTTTAACTTGGGTGATTGTATGGGAATCAGTGTTTCAATATGATGTGGCTATAAACCTAACTAGGAGCAGTATATAACTAAATATTATAAACAGATAACTAAATACTGTAAACATATGACTAAATACTATAAACATATAACTATAACTAAATACTCAAAGATGCTTTCAGACTCGCATTCTTATTATTTACACTATTTACATGCTATTGTCCTCATATTTGTGCCCTTTGACCTTCAACAGGTATATGTTGATGTCATCCAGTACTCAGAAATCAGTATTCTCCTATTTGAATGTTCTGTCTAATTTTACCACAAACCTTATATGTCACATTTTGGTAATCTTGATTTACAATGAAATTTAATCGATAAAGACATTGTTTTTTTTTTTTTTTTTTTTTTTGCTGAGTAGATTTGTCTTATTCCCTGGAATTTGTGAAAGGAGTAGAGCATGCATTAACTCATTAATATATGCCATAAATCTGTTATTAATTATAATACCTGTAAAGATATATAATAAAGCATATACTGATTGCATGAGTTGACTTCAAAACTAACTCATGAAAAATATTATAGAACAACCAAACTAAAAGAGCTTTTTGACAATGTCAAACTAAGTTGAATTTTACAATTTTTAAAAAAAGGTTGGACTTTGTAAATAGTTTTGAAATCTGTATATACATAATTTTGATAGATATATATATATACACAGAAAAATTGAAAATTTACATATTTATCAAATGTTGAAACAAAAAAATAGGAAATTCTATATAAAAAAACTAAAACTTTAAAATTTTAGCATCAAGACAAAAGACACAACAAATTCCTAATATTTAAATTTTTACATAAAAAAATTCAGGAAAATTTTTAACTAATATAAAATCCAAATTTTTAAGATGTTCTAGCATTAAATAACCCACAAAGGGGTTGATATACCATAAAACAAATCAATCAACATTTATTATAAAAATAAAAATCTGATATTAATTATAGGTTTCTAAAAAAATAGTAAAAACATTAGTAACTATAGGTTTGGTTTATATAAGTTGTTTATATTAATTATAGGTATACAAAAATCTAATATTAATTATAGGTTTCTACCAATAACTTATTAATTCCCACCACCCTAAAAATGAGACAGTGGAAATTAATGGGTTAGGAACAAAATTAACAATTATACATTCTGTAATCCCAAAGAAGAATGTTGGAATGAGTACAATATATGTGAATGAAATTAAAAATTTCATGAACATTATTGAGTACAACAAAATCTTGAAAAAGCCTGAAGAGTATGTGGCAAATTCACCATTATACAAGATAAAGACTTAAGTAGGATCCCATAAGAGTAATTGCTCTAAATGTATGCTTATGTACTATTGCTTTAAATTAGGGATTTAAAAACATTTTTAAGCCATTGATACCTTCATAGAATGCTTGATCTCTCATCGACCCTCAGGCTTATTATTTTATTCTTAAATAATAAGAATGCTAGTCTGAAAGCATATTTGAGTATTTAGTTATATGTTTACAATATTTAGTTTGGCATCACATTGAAACACCGGTTTCCATATGATCATTGAAGTTAAGCAACATTGAGCCTGGTTAGTATCTAGACAGGTGATCGCTTAGGAATACTAGATGCTGTAAGCTGTAAGATGTGCAGGTGGTGTAATGGATAATAGTTTGGAATTGTTAATTGGAGAGCTGAGTTCCAATTACATTTGGGTTCATGTAGAAAAAAAAAATTAAATGATAATGAGGTGTTGTCAAAAAGTGTAGTGCGATGATCGCCGACAGGCCAGTTATTTTTCTTCTTCTTCAGTCGCCTCAAGGAAATGGATTGTGTGGCTCCCTTTCTCAGCTGTTACACTGGGTAGTGTATATGCTATTCCAAGACGGCCAAAATTTGCATGTGTGCAAATATCATCTCGTTTTGGACGAGATAGGCAAATATAAATTAATTCTTCAATAGCGGCCATATTTTTTTTATCATCACTTTGCAGGCAAGACATGTTCATGCTTGTTTTGAATTCTGAGATAAGTCATGTCTTTCGTCAGAGTTCATTATATTCACTTATGTGTAACTATATTTGGGAAAGGTATGAATCCACCTTTTCTGCCACAGTTATGGGTTAATTAGTAAGACATGTATCACTAAATTATTATTACTTTAAAAAAATAAATGAAATTCTTACAATCTACAAATATGCTTTATTATGATTTATTCTCCCAACTGTATTTCCCTCATTAAGGGCATTATTATATCTGTGATATTAATAACACAGTACTTCATTGACAAAACGGAATGGCTGAAAGGAAAAAGAATGACAAACATGCTTTGTTCACAGAGAGATTTTTATAATACTAAGACATACACAAATCTATATATACATATATACACATGTCCCACACAGAGAAATTATATCACAAGGCAAAGTGTAAGGAGAAACAAAAGGAAGGGTCTCGCATATAATATGGAGATACTCTTGTGTCTGGAGAAGACATTTTTAGGACTCCAGATTCAAACAGGCTGGATTCATCTATGTCCCCAGGCATAGACATATTCTATGAATAGGAAACAGCAAGTCTTGGATTTAAGGAAAGATATATTCCCAAAGAGAAATAGTGCCATAGACTTGCAAGCTGTGGGGGAGGCAGATTTAGCCTTTGCCCCATGGGGGAGTGGGCGGCAAGATAAAGAAAGCCACCTTACAGTTCAGCTGCTGTAAATGAACTTAACTAGGCTGTCACTTTTGTCACTGTATGAAGTAACATCACTAAGTGGTCTGTCATGTGACCCATGTCACTTATCTCCATCAAAGACAGATAAAAGCCTTCTGCATCTTTACATCATTATAATATAAATATATTTTGTTGTTCAAAAATCTTGTAAAAAATTAGGATGTTTTATATCATGTTGAAATAAAAAAAATTCCTGTATGATCACTTAAGTGATGTCAAGCCTGGTCATTTCCTATAAATAGAAAACTTGGGAATACTATTCCTAAAACTTGGATGTTTTAAGATGGTGTAAAAAATGTGATAAATATGGTTTAATAAAAATATGAATTCACTTCTTCTCCCTCCAGCTATGGGTTAATTATTAAGACTTGTATCACTAAATCCATTATTATCTCCCAAAAAATAAATAAATATAATTGCTTACAAAATATTTAAATTTGGACATTAAATAATTAATAGAGGTTTATATGCTTCTAAACAAAAACAACCAACCAACCAACCAGATTAGAATACTCATCTTGGCTGATAAACTCACAACATTTCGGTTGTTGTATTCTCTGGCATTCTTCAGATGTCTGTCATTGTACTCAATAACCTTCTTGAAATTTCAAACTGGACTCTTTATTCAATCCATAGGGGTAGATTTACACCTTTCCTCTATCTTGAACATGACAATCAATGTTGTTTGGAGTGAAACAAATGCTAGTTTCTAGGTGACAAGTCTTGAAAAGTTGCAATATACAGAAGAACGTCCCATACCAATTCTAAGACAGTTTGTTATATTAGCAACAGGAACATAAGTGTTGTCATACTGCAAAATCAGCAGTTAATTTCCTTACCCAGAAAAAAGTATTTTCTATTCAAATATATTGACTGATTTACTGTTAATTTGTCTTTGCAATGTTGTTTGGAATGCTTGTTCTGAGAAAAGTTCTCTCAAATTTTTAAGACTTGTTGTCTTCCAGGGGGATGTGCAGGTAACATGGCAGTTATCAATGCAGCAAGTGAACTGGCGAGCCGAGTTCAAATTCTAGCCCAGTCTGATGTGCTTACTTTTGTACTAAAGCTTTTGGAAAAGCCATAAATCCTCTTCTCCCCACCAACTATACATTAAATAGCAGAATAGACTGGGTTATTTAGGTGGATCATTGGTTGGATTCTATGTGTGACGAGTTGGGTGAGATTAGTGAAGCTTGGTTGACGTCATGGTTGTGACAAGAGAAGTAATCATGATGATGATGGTGACTGCGTGATTGCATGCCGACATGTACAATAGTTTGAGTCTCTTTTCAGTAAAATGAAATATGTCATGGTTATCAAAGTTGGATTTTGGGAGACTTCCATGTTATGACTTCCTACAGTGGTGAACTGATGAAAAAAGGGAAGAACCTCATGATCAATGTCTGGAGAGAGGAAAAAGAGAAAGAATGGTGTTTGCTGCTCTGTTTTATATGCTCCCACAAGCAATTCTCATTGGTTCTGAAGTCCTGGGTATGATTTTAAATTACATCCAGCAGCAAGGCCTCTGATCAGGAGATTGGAAGTTTTGAGGAACATGGGACCACCTCTTAATTGCTGTTGTTCCTGTGTCCACCCTGGTTGGATCACAGCTATGTGGAAAGTGAACCCCCAAACAAAAACAAAAGCACTATAAAAGTATAAATATACATTTTTATAGTAAAAATACCAGTAATATATTTTTATATTAAAAATTATTAACAATACATATTTATAGTAAAATTACAAACAATACACACATACTAACAACTTGTAGTAACTTCACCCAAATCCTTTTAAAATACTACCCAAAAATCAACATGAAAGAACTCTTTCATGGCATTAATCCATATAATAAAGAAATCAAAATGTATTCCAAAATATAACTTCAACAAAACTATAACATAAAAAACACATATCATTGCCTCTAGTAATTATGTCCATACAAAAATGTATATGCACAAAAGCTGAGTATTTACCATATATTCAATTATGAAAACTGAATAACATATATCATTACTTCCAAGCTCACAAGGAAATTAAAATTTGGCATTAAATGACAAATAAGGAGTTGATATACTATTAAATAGATATCAAGGCAATCAATCATTGGTTTCACAGGAGTCTAACATTATGTCTTTGGTTTTGACTATGGGAATAAGTGTGACTGCTAGGCTCCACAGATAATATAAGTGTTGTAATTTTGGCTAATCCTCATCGTCAAAATGCGGTAACCTAGAAAGGTTGCTGAATAGAATAATCACATGAAGGTTGGTAATGAACGATAATACTTATGACAAGAACAACCCATATAAAATTCACCAATGGTGCATAGAAGTAGTCAGCTGCTAGAAGTGAGTCAAATGAATTCCACAATGAATCTCCAACTGCAGACCAACATACAGTACTTACTACTGTATTTATGTGAATAGGGACATACCCATTATCGTCTGTACATATGCTACAACAACTAGAAAAGGAATCTCAAGATTATTACCTACATCCTAAAGGGATATGGCATTTTAAGAAGTGTATTCTTTGTCCTTGAATTCAAACTGTTATTTTTGAAACTTCAAAAAACCTTTCCTCATATGTATTGTGTAGCATTATCATCTGTTTTAGTGAACCACTTTCTCATTTTTACTGTTTCTTTTCCCCAGATTAAACATAAAATTAAACAATGTTAAACTTATTTTCAGACATGATTTTCACCAAAATAAAGTGAAAGTGTTACTTTTCTATAGGGGGCTGCTGAGAGAAAGTTCTTGACCTGACAAAGAAATCTTTCTGCAGAATGGGTTGATTTGGGAAATTTTTAGCCCTCCCTTGTACAAATAGATATGTTCATAGCATAGTGGATATTTGTGCTGAAAATGGGATCAGCATGTCTGGTTCAAAGTCTACCTGAGGCTATTGCATTTGTTTTTACACAAATACCCTTGGGAAGGTATGAATTAATTTATTCTCCTCCCAGCAAGAGGTTAATAGGCTTCTTAGCTTTGATTGGCAACCACTCTAGGAGAATGACAATTCTGAATTAAAAACCAGTTGGCTGTTGGGCTGGCATCACCACCTGTGAAAAACTTATTCACTATAGAAACAAACAGCAGCAACACTTAACATGGTGAAGCTGTAGTCTTGTACTCCACAAAGGAGCCTACAGGGTTAACATACATGCATACATACATACATACACAATTTAAATGGTTTTATTAATACTATTCCTGCATGTATTTAAGAAAAATGTAAAGATAGGATAATATGGAATTTAAGGCTGCATGTTTTGGTGTCTATTTTATGTGGGTATGCGTGTTCATATGTAAACAATTAAAGAAGAAGCATACAAAATTTGGGTTTCTACTACGGACTGTTTATTCTTTTTTTTTACGGTAACTCTAGGGAAACAAAGTTCTCAATGTCTCTTTTCCTGGTCCAGGAGTTAGAGTAAGTATAGGCATTAGTATAATGATCGAGATGAAGTCAGCCTTGTGCATAGTTGGAATGAACAAAGAAAAACTTGTCTTACTTCATCACTGAAGTGTCGACATGGTTATAATGTCTGAGTTAAATTCAGCCTTGCACTAAGTTGGAATGACCAAGGAAAGGGTTGATTTACTTCGTTGGTGGAGTCTTTAGAAGACATGTGTGAATGCTATGCATTGGAAACTGGAAAAGAGAGTTCAGTCCTCATTATGTGTCTTCAAAAGTTAATTATATTATGAATACATAAATAATCAATCAGTGACTGTTTTCTTATTAGTAGTTCAAGTTAACTGAAGCTTATTTTCAAAATAGCCTAGAAAGTCATGAGTAGCAAAATTCAAAATCAAATTCAAAATAAAATAGCTTTCAAAATGCACCCAATTCAATATCCTCAGTGTATGCCCATGTTGTAAACCTTAACAAGAT